ACACTCTTGGAGTGTGACTTCTCACAAGCCATCAAGACGGAGCGTTGACTTTAGATGTGCTCATACATAGGAAGATCTCAATGGAAGCCTATGAAATAGACTCATTAAAACAGGAAGAGTTTCAGTCTACCAATTCACAGATGAAATCAGGACAGCTTGGAAATGTGTGCAGATAATTACCATGTTGAAAACTCTCACTGGCTTCTCACTAACCACAGGATAAATTCTACAGTTTAAAACCCTTAACATGATTGATATAGCTCTTTTGTTGTCTGGCTCCAAATCAACTTTTGCTTGGTTTTGTTTTAAATTTCTTCCTTTTTTTTTTCTTTTTTTTTTAAAGAGAAGTCTAGCTCTGTCACCCAGGCTGAACTACAATCGCATTGTCATAGTTCACTGTAGCCTCAAACTCCTGGGCTCAAGCAATCCTCCTGCCTCAGTGTCCTGAGTAGGAGGGACTACAGGTGCAAGCCACCACAACCAGCTAATTTTAAAAAAAAATTTTTTTTAGAGACAGGGTCTTGCTATGCTGTCCAGGCTGGTCTCAAATTCCTAGCCTCAAATGATCCTCCCGCCTCGGCTTCCCAAAGTGCTGGGATTACAGGAGGCGTGAGCCACTGCACCTGGCCCTTCAACCTCTTCCGGCCTTATTTAAATAATGCAAATGTGTCAAGTTTTCTACTCCCTTTGAGCCTCTCTGGGTGCCTGTCCTTCTCAATGAAACGATCCCAGATACTTGGTCTTTAAAATGACTATATCCTTTTCAAAATAGAACCCCTATCATTCATTCTCCATCTTTTAATGCAAAGAAACTAAAACAAAAATAAATCTTTTTAATGTCTGGGGGATGGGGTTTATATCTAGATAACCTTTCAATGGAAAGACTTGGTAGAGTTCTCCTTCCTTATCACATCTTGGCTCTCAGTAAATTTTATTTGCCTTACAGTTTTAGGGTTTAGGATTCCAGCATGTCACCAGCATGATTTCTACCAGAGAAGAAGAAAATTATGTTTTTCATCACCTAATGTTGAATCATCAAGCTGAGTCACATAAAAACCAGCTAAGTCATTTCTTCTGGCATGAAACGTGAAGTAGTGCGTAGGAACTTAGTAATATTTCCATTCACAAAACCAGCGCTGGAGCCAGCTATTCTGACCCTGACCATGAATTGACCAGTCTGGCTACTCAGAGTAATGTGTCAGCCTGCTCCCTGATCGGGAACCTGGAGGCGGGCTGGCCAAGCGCCCCCACGCCAAAGGTTTCCAGGCAGGAATAGAAAGAAAATTGCATTTTGCATCAGTTGCTTTCAATCCATGTTGTGATTCTGGGAAGCCTGGGCAGCTACTTTAAACGTTCTAGAGATAAACTTGAAGGAATGGGATGCACACATGTCATTCTCATGACTGACTGTGTTCAGTGTGGCAACCAGACTGCAGCAGAGAGCAGACTTGCACGGATGAACTCCCATCTCCCTGAAGGGGCAGGAGTCAATCCTTTGGGGGTGGGGGTGGGAGAGGAGATCAGCATTAGCATGGGGGGAAGTGCTGGAGAAGCTGGTGCTGGGCTGCTGGGAGACCAGGGGCAAACACGAGGACCCTGACTTGCTTTAAAGCAGCCTCGATCCTGAGCAGGTGGGGGAACCAAGAGGAGGTGTTGAAATGTCTTCATATTTGATAATTGTTCACATTCCAGAAATAAAGTTAGGGGCAATATGGCGAGGGCTTCAATTAAGAGATGGAGCAGAGAAAACTGAAAATACCCACCACTATGGTCTGAATGTTTGTGCCTCCCCGCCAACAATTCATATGTGATGATATTAGGAGGTGAGGGGCCTTTGGAAGGTGATTAGATCACGAGGGCTGAAGGGGGTTGGTGCCCTTATAAAAGAGACCACAGAGAGCTGCCTTCTTCCCTTCCACCATGTTAGGACCCTGTGAGAAGGCGCCATCTGCAAACCAGGATACAGGTCCTCACCAGTCAAATCTGCCGGTGCCTTGATCTTGGACTTCCCAGCCCTGAGAACTGTGAGAAATAAGTTTCTGTTGTTTATAAGCCACCCAGTCTATGGCATTTTCTTATAGCAGCCTGAACAGACTAAGATACCCACAGAGCAAATGTACTTTAGAGAGGGTTCTATAATGAAACAACACAAAGGGAGGGCCAGATAAGCGGAACTGGTTATAACTGGTAGGAGTAGGAGAATCATTGCACCTGCTGTCCACGTGAGCAGAGGAGCTCAGATGCCTGCAGAACCTTCTTCCACCCGTGAGACAGCGGGCAGCCCTTACTCAGGCCCTTTAGCGTCATTCACTTATGAAGTAGGCTCCCCAGCTTGGGCAAAAAGTAAATGACACAAAGACTTCTCCAGGACAGGATACTCACCTGGGACCTCTGTGCCAAGCCAGCCCATAGTAAAGAATTTAAAGTGACCTCAACAACTAAGGATCCTTGGGAAAAGCCAACTGGCCACTATTAAGCATGGACAAAATCCCTCCCAAAAAATTTCCTTTGTCTCAAGCCTTCAACTGGCTGTCTCCCATGACTTGAAGGAATTAAAACCATATTAAGAAAGTCACTCTGCTCTTCCTCTTCTTCCTTCCCTCCCTTTCCTTCCTGACCAATTCAGTCCAAAAGTCATGAGGTGGGGCTGAACAAGACGGTGCCAATGGTGGGGTTGGGAGCAGGCTTGGTGGCCCAGTGGGGTATGCTGGAGCCACAGCAGGGTGGGCAGGGGACAGCAGTGACTCCCCATAGGGTGCTGGAGCGCAAGCAGGGTAGGAAGGTGTTGGTGGAGGGGGGTGGCAGTGGCCACTCAGAAAGTGATGTTGGAGCCCAAGTTTGGTAATGAAAATAGGAGATTGGTTACAGAAGAGGGGATTAATTAAATAATAAATATATTGAGGATAATAAAACCCAAGTAAGTGGTTGTCAAGAAGGTAGTTACAAATATGCAAAGGGAGAAAATATGTACAAACCCTGTATAAAAAGAGAATTACAATCGTGGTAAATTCATGGTTTTCAAGACAGAGAGACAGACAGACGTACATCATCTCTAATTCTGTCCACTGAGAGTGCCTGGGAGCAGTGACAATGCAACAGCAATGAGCACACCTAGCATCCATATCTTGGTTTCTAAATACCATTCTATACTAAAGGGAACTAGTGCTCTTGGGAAATGATTGATTTCAGGGCTGGGAATGTATAAGATGAAACTGGAACATCTTGTGGTGCCATAAAGTAAGGACACATTCAAAGAATAATGGGGACATCTCCAAAGGACACAGAAGTTAGCTCGAAAGGGCTCCCATGAGCTATATCTGAACAAATTGAGGATAAAAATAATATAAGAAATGGATTATAACCCATTGACTACAAGAGGAATCCATGAGACCACACTGACATAAATAAATATAAATGAATAGATTTAAAGTTTGAGAAGGAGTGGGGTAAAAATTACATAGTCCCAAAGTACCTCCCCATAAAAAATTTGATAATTACAAAAGGAAAAGGTAACTTTACTGTGCAGAAGCCTGGCAGGCACTCCCTCAATCATGTGATCAAAATTAATATCAGATGTCAGAGTTAACACCTGCCCCTGTAACAGGACAAACTGATACCGTGAGAATGTGAGAAAACAGCATCAACTCTGTGGTATTCCTACCAGTGACGCACAATCTACATGTGAGCATGTGAGTATCAGGCTGACCCAAATGGAGGGGCAGTCTACAAAACTGGGGGCGATGGGGCATTGTGTTAGCAATTTACCCTTAAATGGATTAGAATAAAAAGATACTTGTACTGTACTTGGAAACTTTTCTTTAGGTTTGAGATGCTTTCAAAACTTAAAAACCAATAATGAGAAGAGTGACCTTGTGTCATTGATGGAAGCCAAGTGTCAAGATGAGATTAAGATCCGTCCGAGTTAAATGCCAACAATTATCACATTAGGGCAATAATTCTTAAATTATCTCTGGCGAAGGATCAGTTTCTCCCCCACCTCACCCCAAGTCCATGGTGGACCAATACTGTTGTAAAACACAAAATCCCATGCTTGGATTTCAGAACAATAACAAATTGCTGTAAGAGTTTTCAAATGCTTACTCTCAAAGTCTGAACTTAGCTCAGAATGGACTGGTAACAAACAGTTCCTGGACTGGCTCGGACCACACTTTGAGCAGCACTTCTCTACGGTTAAGATGCATGGATCCCTGTCATATCCACGTGGGAAATAAAAACTACTGGTCACACTGTTATCCATAATGGTAGCAACAATAATTACCACTCTAACATCAACCATCTAACAAAGTATTCAAGAAGGTGACCGCCCAGGCAACGCAAGGGCATTAAAGACTGGCCTTTCCTTGTAGTAATTCAACTTTTCTAAATGGGTCACCTGACAAGAATGGATGAGGCCACCCCTGATTGCAAAGTAGTTGCTTTGTGGTGACTTAAAGGAAGACAAATCTGATCACACAGGAGATGGACAAGGGCATCCTCCATGGGTCAATCTGCAATGCCAAGTCATGACTATCATCACTGGGAAGGGACCCAGCTCTCAGAAGGGGTTAGCAGAGCACGTCTCCAAAATCGGATGGGTTGGATTTAACTACAGATACCTAAGGTCAAGCTGTAAGCTCAAACACAGTCCACACATGGCCCATTCTTACTGGTTCTGGGCCACTAACAGCCCCTCCCTCAGCCAAGGGGCAATTCTCCAAATAAAAGAGAACAATTCTCTGTAACAAACCAAGACCAATGCAGAACGACAAGAAAGGAGCTATTGCATCCACCAGGAAGTGGCAAACTCCAACCAGCCTCAGGGTTCCTCCACGGGCACTCTGACACTCCTGTTACATGTCCCCAAACACCGAAATCCTCATGTAGAGTCCCCCGACACTTATTCCAGACATGCACAGAGGAGGCTCCACACAGAAATCCATAAACTGGAATCAACAGTGGCAAATTTCCGGGCCATCTGCCTCTGGTATGAGGCACCTCACCTGGGGCGGTTTTGTAGCTTGGAGTTCTGGAGGGCAGTGCTGGGGCGTTCTTCGTCCTGGGGCTCGGTGTGCTCTGCAGGACCTGCCTCTGCCTCTTCAGCTCCTCTTCCCTTTCCTGAGCTGCTCGGATCTCTTCTTCGATCATGGACAAAGTCCGCTGCTTCCTGGACCTCAGTTTGAAGGGCCCAACCATCACGTCGGATTCTTGAGTGGCCAGGAGGGAGGCTGTGCTTCTCAGCTCGGCAGCCTCCGAGTACTTGCTGAAATAGCCCCCTTCAGGCCTGGTCTCCTCCATGTTTATTGGGCCACTGGGCTGCACGGCTGGCAGCGGCTGGGAGGGCCCCTTTTCCCTGAGCGCCCTGTCTTCAGCGGGCAGAATCTTTGGTATGACATCCCTTTTCTCTTGAACAGGAGAGGATACCTGGGGTGGCTCAAACATGCTCTGGGGCTTCTCTGAGCTGGAAGCCCCAATTTCAGCTTCCTCTAGAGTTGCTTCAGGTCCCTGCGGTACCCCTCCATCCTTGTTGGTTTTGGACACAGCTTTGTCCACCTGCTCGGCTATGGCTTGTTGAATGGCATTCTGCACCAGCAGACCAGCCTGATATTCCAACGGGTCATCAGCCGACAGAGAGTCTCCCAGGGTGGATGAAGGGGAATAGAAACCATGATCACTGAACGACTTGGAGACACCTTCTCCTCGGCCCTCTGAGGGGTTGTCAGTTTGTGGCGTTTGGGGCAGAGAAAAATCAGCCAGTGAGTTTTCCTGGAGGGCATTGGGTGTCTCATTGGAGGCACCACTGTCACTGATGTTGTCCATGCTGAAATCATTGGACAGGGTCTCCAGGACCGTGGTATCTTGGGACCTCACTGACAACTCATCCAAACCAGAGTCGAGCTCCTCTTGGGTCAAGGAGACATTGACTGATCTTGAAAACTGATCCAAGATCCCATGGTCATCATCCTTGACCACGGTGAGGACCGCCCGGGCGCTTGTAAACTCTCCGTCCTCTGCCCACAGTTTAGATAAGGGCCCCCGTTTAGATGGCTCACTGTAGGGCCCTTCCTTCCCCTGGGGGGCTGTGCCGCCCTGGCCTCCTCCCCCCGACTGGCTCTCAAGGGCACAGGGGGCCTTGGCTGCTGATGCGTTACTGTCTTCTGGAGGTCCCCCGACAGAAGCTGGTCTCGAGACAGTCAGTGGCTTGTCGGAGTTAATCGACCCCAGAGGCCTGTAGAAAGGCTTGATGGAGAACAGCCTGGGTGTACTCTGGCCCTTGGCCACTGTTTGCCTGGAAGTCTCCATCTGCTGGAACTGTTTGCGGGCAGCAGAGAAATCTATCTGCTCTGTGACGATGTCCTCCTTCGCCTTGTCAGTCACGCTTGGACGTTCATAGGAGGACGCAGGGGCTGCGCAGGGCTGCGGTGGGGGCCGCTGCTGCTGCTGCTGTTGCAACTGCTGCTGCAGCAGCAGCTGTTCCTGCTGTGCCCTTCTCTCCTTACGCTCCTTGTACTTTTTGTGGGACTCCAGATGTTCCTCATCCAGCTGCTCCTCGAGGGTCTTCTCCTGGGGGGGATTCCACCACTTCGCGGCGATGCCAGGATTCTTCTTCACCGCCTGGCTGCGGATGAGCTCCCTCCTCTCCTTCTCCAGCTCCAGCATCTCTTCTGAGGGCCTCACTTTCCGGACACGGTACTGCTCCTTCTCGCACTCGTCCTCCTCGAAGAGCTTGGACGGCTTCTTGTCCTCGTGGAAGGCGCGCAGCTCGAACTTGGCCTCCTTCTTCAGCGTGGTGAGCGTGAGCTCCCCGTCTCGGGATGAGCACCAGGAGCTGGCTGAGGAGCTGGGGCTCATGGGAGCCTGCAGCCCGTCCCCCAGCCTATCTCGGGGCTGGCCAGGGGGGTGGCCGTTTGCTCTTTCCCCGTCTGCCATGGGGTCAGAGTTGCTTTCACTGAGCTCAGTGTGGGGAGGCGCCTGCCTGCCGGCTGCTCTCCCAGCGGGTTCTGGCTGGAGGGCTGCGTGGGCAGGGGGGCTCAGGCTGCCCACCGGGATCGCTGCGCCAGGCTCCGGGGACGATGTTCCGTTGTAAGTTCCATCCACAACAGAATCACAGCAGTTGGCTTCCAGCACCTCGTCTAGATACCGGATCTCTCTGGCCACATCGTTATCCAGGGACTCGTGGTGATCAGTGAGGAGGCCATTAAGAGGGGGCGAATAGAAAGGGGAGGGGTGGTCCACGGAATGTGGGGTGGAGGTGATTCCAGGAACACTTTTACATTCTGCAACAGACACCTCAATTTCCATGTTTTTGTGATCTGGGAGAAGAGAGCTGGTGGCAGGCTCCGGGAGGTTGGCACAACAGTTGTCTCTCTCCTTTTTCAGCCGGATATCATCCTCGGAAAGCTGAGGAGGCTTCTGGAATAAAGAGAAAACAAAAGTCAGGGTTGAATGCTAATCTCTTATGGATGCAAATGCTGAGAAATTCACCCATAACTAACAGGAAGGAAAACTGAAACTTCAGTGACAAGTTCATCTAAATAGAGATTTCCCTTCTACTAATCCTTTACATATTCATTTTGTTGTGGCAATGAGTGCCTAACCCTCTCCAATTTACAGATTCCATTTTGTTTACTTGGTGTTCAATACATGCTAGTTCCATTTTTAAATTTTACCTTCTAATGTGGAAGAGATTATATAGTTATTGTATCAGAGCCTTCCAAAATATTTCATAGCAAAACTGCTGCAGGCTATGTAACAGGACTACTGGTATGTCCCCAACTGTAAAAAGAAGGTCCTTTGGCATGAACAAATATTCTGAAAACATATGATTCTCTGCCAGATGTAATGCAATTATAATGGAGACAAGAAACTCTTGGGAAAATCTTTCCAAAATAAAATACTGAAAAACAGTAGATCCCTTCAATGACCCCTCACAGGCTGCAGGGCCCATTGCCATGGCTGTAATTGACCATGTGCATTATAAACACCATAACCAAAGGCACTGATTGCATAGCTTTGTTCTCTGGAACTGCATCGAAACAGTACTCCTTAGTCAAGGAGTGAGTGTTGCTTTGAAAACCGGTGGCCAGCAGCACCCCATCTCGTTTCTAAAATGCTCTATATGTGATATGTCCAATTTGTGGTTAAATAAGAAAACCATACCTTCCTAACTCTGTAAATGCATCATATTTTCCCACCAGTTATCTAGCACATGTAATTGTATTATTTAGCATTAATAAGATTAATTTTCAAATTCTAGGATGAATTTTTTTTTCATATCAAAGGACTCTGGTTTACCTCAGAGAATTCCAGCAGTAAATTATGAATTTAATTTGAGTTTCCCTCAAGAATGTCACTAACACTTTGGTCAGTTTTGTTTCCCTGTCTCAAGTTTATAGTGTATCTGGTATTATTGAACTAGTATAATGCAATCATTGGAAGATGGTATGATTTTCATTTATTTAAGTTTTCAACAATTTTAAAGCTTAGAATATAACATTAAAACACCATCTTAGGATGATTCTCAAGGGCTTAATTTCAAAATCCTTCCAAGGAAAGTGGATAATTCTGGATTTGTTCATGAGACCCAGGAAAACATGGAAATTCACCCTGGGTGCTCTACGTTGCTGTCAGAATGTTGAAAAACTCTCATGGCTACCCATGAACTGGGGGGTTTTCTTCAGTCTTGGTTTTCCACATTCCCCTTCAGACTTAAATCAATCAAGTAATATATATTTCTTTTCTAGCAATAGGCGACAATAATGAGTATTCTTCCTTTCTGGTCTGTGATGTTCTTCCAGTCTAGGTCTTGTCTTTGTCAAAGTCTAATACTTAAAACAATTAATATTTACAATTGCTTATGTCCTTATTTTTATTTTTGACCATTGTCAACTGTAGTTCTTTTATCTTTAGAATGAACCAAAGCGGCATGTCAAGAGAGTTTTTACCGCCCTTTTAAAACTATTACCTAAACTTTTTTTTTGGTGAAGCAATTGTCAGTAATTTCTACTCATACATCATTAAGAATTACAGAAAATTTGAAGCCCGAAGCTTACTGGCTACCATTCAATTTCAAGGAAACCTAGGCCAAAATTAGCACACTCCATGGAAAGTTATTACTGGAATAAAAAGACAAAGAGAGATACATGGTACTGCTGCGGTAAATATCAGATTACCCGTGGCACCCCCACCCCTGGCTTCATCTGGCCAATAATTTACTGCTAATATTCTTCACAGGAATAGCATTGCTTTCTTTCTGTCCCTTTTGGCTTTTGGAGGGGGGAAAAAGTTGGAGACTAGTAGGAAGCCACTGGGACTGAAATATGGTTCCAAATCACTGCTCTGCTGAAATATAAACCACTTCGGAATAGTTGAGAAGAGGAAAGAAGGCGATGTAATAATAGAGAAAGCTAAAAGTCAAATACTGTAATTCTATAGTTCATTTATTCATTAATCCAGGAAACTTATTCTGCAGGGCCGTAATGATAGCAGCAGCAACAATAAGCTCCAGGAGACAGTACCCTCTTCTTAACAAAAGTTGGATTCCCCATACTTCCCAGGGAGCCGTAAGTCTATTTTAGAGTTTACTTAGTCTGGCGAAGTGAAGAACTTGCCTCTGTGTGTCTCTTGCTGCTAATCACAGAGATAGGGTGACCAGGCTTATCTCCACTGCATTTCCCAAGAACATTCTAGCTACTCACACCATCATTGTCCCTTCCTCCAGAATGTTTCACACTTATGTGTTTGATGATAGGTGAGCAGATGTCCTGTCAGCCTGTTCTTTCTAGAACTCAAAAGTTACATCAGCTCTCCAAGGCATGGTTTTTGAACTAGAAACAAACTGTTTCGATACAAAGTTTTAAAAATCTGAAAAGAGTATTTGATAGTACACTTTGCGGTATCCAAAAAAACTGCCTTTATCTTTGAGTCAGAAATCATAATAAGTACTTTCATCTTCTGTGATCTGTCAAACTGAGATTTTTAAAAATGCTAATTACTTGTTAAAAGTCAAAGTTTTGGGGTGCCAGTGTAATTTGAGATGATCCCTTTAATGCATTTTTTTAAAAAAAATTAGACAATAGAGTGTGTAAACAGGAAAGAGTTACATGAGGCAAAGTCTCCTTTTTTCCATAAATTCAGAAAATTCTTTCTGACACTCAATTTTATCTCCTTCAGAGAGCAGCAGCTCTAAATCCTAATCAAGGTAGAAGTATTTAAAGAGATAAACAAGTCTGCATTACTGATTCACTACCACGCATCAGAAGTCCTGAGCTTTTGTAAAGTTAGACAACAATTATAACAAAAGAGCAAATTCCTAAGTTCTACCATCAGCAGTAAGAATTTGCCTTCATGCATGACAGCCTGATGTGATCAAAGCCATCAGTGACGACACCAGGTGAGTGGAAATGGGCTGGAAATCCCACCTATCCGATTTGGCAGGAGTCTGGGCTTGGTATACTTAAATGATGTCTTGTTTAAACCAATAAATGCTTACTGCTCCCTTTGAAGATAAGAAGGACCAGAATTTTCTCCATGCTTCAGATAAGGTGGACCTGATTGCAGATTCAGATAAGATGCATATTCATTAAATCAACCGGAAAGTCCTTTCTGAAATAAACTATGTCCCAGTGCAAAAAACAGGAAGATATAAAAAAAAAACATCAAACTGGGTTTTCTAAGGTCAGAGAAAAACTAGGGTGCTAAGGGGCCTGGGGAGATCTTTTGATTGGCCCAGCTTAACCCCACAGGTGGAGTCCCAACACCCCGGCACATAAACCTGCCCTCCTACCAGCTTCCCAGAAAGGATAGCGGTGGTTACGATGTCTAAAATTATTTTTAAAATACTTGGGCAGAGACAATATAATGCAGCTGTGTGTTTCTGAAATTAGTGTCAATTACATTCCAGCCGCAGACAACGATGCTAATCAGGAATATATACTCAAGGGGTGGTCAACTAGGAGCTAATCAGAAATCCCATGCTCCACAGGTGGCTTCCTCCAGTGCTTCAGCCCCCTTTAACTCCCAGGGACCCCTGAGGCTTTGCTAATTGGCATAATTAAGGTGAGAAATGGGTTTTCATTAGTGAAATTAGTGGCTTATCAATTAGTACAATGAATGTTAGAAATCCGTGAAACTGATGGTTTTCAAATTTGTGGATTAGAGATATCCCCCACCTTTTCATGAACAGGATATATAAACAGAGTGAGCCCTTTGGTTCATACACCCTTAGGGATGGTGCTTGAGGTCTTAGAACTAATCAGCCCATTTCCAGCCATCGGTTCAGGGGATTTTGGTTATTTGGGACTTTGGTTATTTAACACCCATTGAACAGAATCCTGTCTTTGTAAAATTGCCACATTTGTTTTCATACAAGGTAGGGTTGGAGCACCTAGAAACTTAGAGAGCTGAGACTTCTTTATACCATTTTTTACAAATATTTATTTAGTAAGTGTCTGTCTACGTGCCAGAATTTGGTCAAAGACTGGCTTTTAATATAACCTGGTAGTAAGGTTGCATCCAAAGCTGCCATTATTTACCTGAAAGTGTTTAATAGTTATGCAAAGCAAATTTGCATGGCTTAATTTACAACATAGGTACCTGGGTCTCCTTTCTCTATCTAAATGATGCAGAAATACTTGAGCTTTCTGAAGATGAAAAACGTAAATTAATAAATAAAAAAATAAATGATGCAGAAAACATGGTAACTCAGAGTTTGGAGTCCAAAGACTAGAGTCTGGGGATCATTTCTTGGCTCTACCTATAAAAGTTTGGCTAAACCTTATGCAAGAAAATTATGAACTTTGCTGAGAATATAACTCCTTTGCAAGCAGGGTGAATATCTCCCAAATCTGTTTTGAGAATTAAATTGGAAAATGTATTTAAAAGTACTACATGAACTGTAAAATAGTCTACGCAAAAGTTTATTATTATTAAGCCATTTTACATTGACGTGTACATGATCAATATTAAATTCTTTCTGGGAGCAGATTGACTTTCTTTTGAGGAAAAAGTAGGAAGTAACGGTGAGATTTTGGCTTTTAGAAGAAAAGAAATCACCATGAAGAGATTAAAGGAAAAAGGCTCAGGAGAGGCTAAAAGTCAGACTCAAAGACAGCTCTCGTCTCCCTAATCTTTCCCCACTCCAAGAGATCCTTAAATGCGAATTTTAGTTAAAGCTAAGCAAAATTAGGAAGATGCATTTGTTGCTGCAACAAACAGAATAACTTCATAAAATGTCCTTAATAGTCAAATCCTGAAGATGCAGTGAGTAGAATGAACAGTTGAGACACATCCAGACCTGGGGCTCCAGTCACATGGGAAGCAGAGAAGTCACATTGGATAGAAGAGAACCTGGTCCATCTCCAATGCTCAATAAACGTACGAACGAATGAGGCAGGCTAACAAGCCCGTCCTGTGCACACACTGTAAGTGTCACGT